AAAAAAAAAAAAAAAAAAAAATTCCTAACACTTTGATTTATTAAATATGCTCTCTCGTTTTTTTCCCTAGCCACTAGACTAACAGGGAAAAATATTTATGTTCAAACAACTTTATAAGTATTTATATCCTAAAGATTTAGTGGCTCTTTGGAAAAATCGTATACACAAATTAGAAGAAAAACATTTTAATGTCATTCTTCAGTAAGTACTTACTCATGATACGAGTGCACCTTTTGGGCCCCACACATCTTCCAGACCTGGAATCAGATGGAACACTCCCCAGCAGTTTCTGTCCCCTGATTTTTGCCTGGAATTTGCTACTTTTCATAGCAACTGCTGAAATCCCAGCTCTACAGGGCTGTGGTCACACAGATGGGACTGTGGCAGAAACTAAGGTTGAGACTGACTCACTTGAGCTAGTCGTTTGCTCAGTGTCTGACAGATGTTAATTACTGCTGTGTTCTGGTTAAAAGTTTGAACTAGGCTGCAGTGCCCCAGGGTTCCCTGATACACAGTTTGGGAGCCAGGGGAGGTGCCAGGCACGCTGGGATAGGAACAGGTGGGAATCGTGAGGAAGGGCTCAGTCTGGCGCAGTCACCTGGCTCAGCCCCTCAGCTGTGTGAACTGGGACCTGTGTGGTCGGGGGATAGCAGGGAACGTGAGGACCCCCTGGAGGTCCACATCTGCACGCCGGGAAGCGCTCTTCACACGGCCATACAGTCATTTGCATCTGGGTGCAGACCCCGATTCTGCCCTTTGGTAGTGGCTGTAGAGGGGATGACAGGAGCTGATCTAGGATGCTTGGGGGTTCAGTGCTGGAGTTTCCTGTGCAGAGAGCCCCAACCTGTTTCTGCCCCCAGGGACTGCTACTACGACAACTCCACCACGTGCCCCAAGTGTGCCCGGCTCAGCCTGAGGAAGCAGTCGCTCTTCCAGGAGCCAGGTCCTGACGTGGAGGCCTAGCACTGAGGAAGCGTGCTGGGCACCCTGCCTGGCCCGCCGGGACCCACCCTGCCAACATCAAGTTGTTCGTCCTGCTCTGGAGACCCCTGGGGTGTGGCCCCTGGACCCCTCCACCCCTGCTGGGTGGGCAGTGTCGAGGACCGAGGGGGTGGGTAGTGTCAGGGACCGTTGTCTCCCAGGTGCTTGCTGGGACTCGGGGTGGCCGCACCTGGGTGTGCTGCTGTGAGGGGTGCTTGCGTGGCCCCCATCTTTCCCCCAATGGGCAGGGAGTTGGGGGGACATCTCACCTCCCCCATGGCACAGAACCCTCCACACCCCTGGACCAGGGCATCTGGGCCGTAGAGATTCCACAGCTCCCGTCCTGGCCACCCTGGAAACTCATCAGGCCAAGACTCTGAGAGAGCTTCAGAGGAGAGTTGAGTAACACCTGAGGATGTGGCTGCACACACCCAGCCGAGGGCTGAGTCTCACCTGCAGTGGGGTTTCGGCTCTGCCTGGAGGCTCCATCCCTTTCAGCCACTTGGGGACTTCCGGTTGTTCCCAGCTGGGGCTGTTCACAGTTGTCACCTGTAGACCTGCCTCGACCCTGGCCTGAGATTCAGAGGCCTCACTGGGTGGTCAGTCTAGTGGGGTTACCTGTTGTTTCTGTACAGCAGCAGGGAAGGGGGCCGTGGAGCTTTTCCCTGCTGGGCGCTCCTGCCTTGGCCCAGCCCCTTTCCTGGTGCTCCAAGCTAGGAGGCCGTGGCCCCAGCCTGAGGAGGGTGTCCTGGCCTCCAGGTGTGGAGCAGGGACTGTGTGCTGAGGGAGGTTTTAGTGAGGCGATGGGATCCTACAGGGGTCCGGTGGCATTTCTTGGAACCAGATTTGCCTGAGGAACTCGGTCCTGCTGCCTGTGGAGGCCTCTAGATAGCTCGGGAACGACCAGTCAGTGGCCTTTTGTTTGGGGGCCTGAGGTCAAGAGCTGGGAGTATTTGCTCGACAGCCCATTCAGGAAGATCCGGGCAGGGGCGTGTGGGAGGTCCCTCACTCCACAGGACAGAGGCCCCTGGACAGCAGAGGAAACCTACGGCTCTGGGTGAGGGGACACTTGGCTTTGGTGTTTGCACTTTACAGATCCTGCGGTCCACGAGGGGCCTCAGGAGAGGACATGTCAGGACATGCTTCCCAGCCTTCTACCGTGGGAAGTGGGGGTGCTCCTGTCTGTCCTTTTCCCCCACACCCTGGACTGCACTTGGCTGTTGGTGCACATGGTTGGCACACATGGTGGGCAGAGGGCAGAGAATGTCACTGCTTGGATATTTGTCCCCTTTGACCAGGAAGCCCAAGAGGAGACACCTCAGCCAGCAGAAAGGCCGCCCAGCTCACTGGCTCATTCCAGGAGCGGGAGACACAGCAGGGTCTCCTCTTTGCCCTCCGCCATCAGGAAGGGGATGGTGTCCTCTCCCCACTGTGGTGGCTTTAGGCGAGGTTCTTACTGTCTGCTCTGCCTCGGTTTCCCCATCTGGAAAATGGGGGCAGGGGTACTGACCTACCTCAGGTGGCAAGGTGAGCAGGGAACATGTTGGAGTCCTTTAGAGAGTGTGATGTGAGGTTGGATCAACAGTGTGTGTTCCTGTCCTGCTTCCCCTTCCTCTTTGGGGCTGAGGAGGGGGTTAAAGGCCAAATGCTGTTTCCCAACACCCTGAAGTCTGCACACGTCTCATGAATGCATCACACTTCTGTCATATGGATATTAGCCATTCCGAAATCTGTGTAATCAACTTCACATTATTCAAGTTTCAAATCACTGTGTCCATAGAAAAATTATACTGGCATTTGCTGGACAAAGGGTTGGGCCCTTTTTATTTTTACCTGCCACCCAGCATCTCCCCCACCTGCCCCTTCTGGGTGACACAGTCTGTAAACAGAATCATGTATGGGTCTTTGTCTGAGTCTGTAGCACAGCAGGAAAAGCCCAGCAAGGACCAAGTTTGCACCGCCAGCACCCACACCATGGGTGGTCCCACAGCACGGGACCAAGCTGGCCTGAGGGATGCCCAGTTGTAACAATGCTGCTGTCACTGTCTCATTAAATATATGTCCTTTCGCCTGGTGTGTGTGTGGTGAATTGGGGACAAAGTAAGAGAAATTGGTTTGTTGACATAGAAGTCATTTGCAGGCTTAGGAAAGAGCTTTTGCCATCCAGTGGAGTTGAATGTAATATGGTGTGAGGTGAAATAACATGTCCTGATTGGTTGGGAGAACGACCTGTGGTGGTGTCACAGACTTGTTGAACATCTCTGGGCTTAAGCTGTTCTCCTGCCTCCGTCTCCCAAGTAGCTGGGACTACAGGTGCATGCCACCACGCCCAGCTAATTTTTTGTATTTTTAGTAGAGACAGTTTTACCATGTTGGCTAGGCTGGTCTCAAACTCCTGGCCTCAGGTGATCTGCCTGCCTCGGCCTCCCAAAGTGCTGGGATTACAGGCGTGAGCCACGGCGCCCGGCCAGGCATCAGTTTTTCTTAGTGTCAGATGTCCTTCCAGAAGGGCGTTCCCACTGGCAGTGTATGACAATGTCCATTACCCTATAGCCTCAACAGCAGATTGTGTGGTCATACCTTTCAATGCAGTGTGAGAAATGTATATTTGTCATTTTAATTTGCATTTCTCTAATCATGAGTGAGGTCAAACTTCTCATATGTTTCAGGATCTAATTTATGAATTATGTGCCCATTTTTTCGATTGGGTTCTTGGTATTTTTTCTTCTTCTGAGTTTCTCACATATTGGTGATATTAGCCTGTTATTTGTGAGATGTAAATATTTTCTTTATGAATTGCCATTTGACTTTGTGGTATTTTCTTTCCTATGGCAAAGTTTTATTTTGCTTACATTTTTATATGGTCACATTGATTAATGTTTATTTCATCTAAGTTTTAATGTCTGGAAGGGCTAGTCTCCCCTTTGCAATTTTTCTTTTTCTTTTTTTTTTTTTTTTGAGACGGAGTCTCGTTCTGTCACCCTGGCTGGAATGCAGTGGCGAGATCTTGGCTTACTGCAAGCTCCACCTCCCAGGTTCATGCCATTCTACTGCCTCAGCCTTCCAAGTAGCTAGGACTACAGGCGCCCGCCACCATTCCCAATTTTTTTGTATTTTTTTAGTAGAGACGGGGTTTCACTGTGTTAGCCAGGATGGTCTCGATCTCCTGACCTCACAATCTGCCTGCCTTGGCCTCCCAAAGTGCTGGTATTACAGGCGTGAGCCACCGTGCCCGGCCTCAAATTTTCTTTTTTAACAAACGTCTTCTGCTGGGCATGGTGGTTCACACTTTCAATCCCTGCACTTTTGGAGGCCCAGGCTAGAAGACCATTTGAGTCCAGGAGTTCCAGACTAGCCTGGGCAACACACAGACTCCTTCTCTACCAAAATAATTAGCTGGGGGTGGTGGCATGTGCCTGTAGTCCCAGCACTCCAGAGGCTGAGGTGTGACGATTGCTTGAGCTTTGGAGGTCGAGGCTACAGTGAGCCAAGATTGCGCCACTGCACTCTAGCCTGGATGATAGAGCGAGACCCTGTCTCAAAGAAAAAAAAAGTTTTCCTGGCGATTCTTACACATATATGAGCTTTTCAAAGCATATATTTAAATAACATTTTAATGACAAAATTTGATACTCTCAAGCATCAAAATGGAAATACCAACAGCAAGGTTTCCAGGGATGTCGAACACCGCAGAGCAGAGAGGCCTGGCTGGGTCTCCACTGTTGAGGTCGTCATGGTGCTTCTGCTTTGTTCTGATTAACTTTTGGTTACACACATGGAAAAATGACCTAAGAGAGTTGTTTTGAACAGTGCTTTTTCTCATTGTACAGCTTCTGGTAACAGTTTATTGCATCACTGATAGCTCTGGAAACTCTTTCATCATTAGGGCTGTTACTAGCAAGGACCTGCAAGCCAGCCTCCAAATGCGAGAGGACTGCCGACAGTCTTCCTGTGGTTAACTGCCGCACTGCCCAGGGATCATCTTCCCTCTCCTCCTGCCCCACTGCCGGCTCCTGTTTCAGCTGCATTAGTTCCTCATTTGGGAGATCTTCATGGGACTGCAGCAACTGGTCCACAGCAGCCTCAGCAACCTCCTCAAAGGCCACATTTCTGGCAAGGGTCACAATGGTTTTTTTAAGCTGTGCAATGTTATCTGCCCGGGAAAAATGCTGGGCCTGAACACACTCAGGCCAAATCTTCTCCTACACGCTGTTCATTATCGCTGGTTTGAGCTCCTCCCAAGTACGCAGTGTTGTCCGCAGCATCCATGATGCTGTAGTTTCTCCAAAATTCCCTGATCACAGCTGTATCCTCACCATCCGTTGCTTCTAGGATGTGCTCAGAAGTCCTCAGATAGTGAGCTTTGAAGGCAGAGGCTACCCTTGACATAAGGGCTGGATTTAGTCAGTTGTACCGTCATGAATGTATTATACTCTTATGTTATCAGAAACATCGCTCAAATTCACAGGGTGGCATGACGCATTGTCTAGTATGAGCAATGCTTTGTTGGTGAGATTATTTTAGGCACAGTGTTTTTCAACGGCAGGGCAAAAAAAGTAAGCGAACCATTCATGAAAGATGCTCCTGGTCCCCCAAGCTTTTCTGTTGGAGCGCCAAATCACGGGCAAATTGGGCTTCGAGTACCCCTTCAGAGCCCTGGGGGTTTCCAAGCGGTACACCAGTAAGGGCTTCAACTTAAAGTCCCCAGTGGCACTGCCACCAAGCAGCAGCATCAAGCGATCTTTGTATGACTTAAACCCTGGCTCAGCATTCTCTTCCTCGGAAGTGAACGTTTCTTCGGGCATTCTCTTCCAATCAAGTCCTGTCTCATCTACGTTAAAGACACCTGTGTACATGTTCTTGTTGCTGGGAGCTTCAACCTGAAGTGGGGCAAACAGTGGCGCTCCTTGACTCTCACAAGCCACCCTGACCCTTTACTCACATGAAGCCTCTCCGCTTGAGAGCTTTCGCCATGTTCACGCTGCAAGTCATCAAACTTAGCCTTCTGAACGATGGCGGCGTTCAAGGGCGCATTTCGCTGCCTCTAGTCTTCCAGCCACAAGCTCAGCAGCCGCTCCATACTCTCCATCACTGCACTTCGCTGGCGAGTCAACCGTGAGGCTCTCAAAGGAGTAGCTATTTGAGAACTCGATTTTTTTTCTTTACTATCTCAGATGGTCGCCACTGTGGAGACAGCAAGACCTAAGGCCTTTGCGATCTGACTGAGCTTCTCACCCGCTTCAAATCGGCGTAACACTTCCAATTTGAGGTCAAGGGTAATCACTTTCCGTTCCCTTTTGGCACTAGGGATGACAGTTGCATCTGTGGGCGTTTTCCCAGGCATTTCTGCCTCCAAAATGTCAGAAAATCACAGCGGTCTCAAGTGCAAGAAGGCTGTGGTTCCTCTACGTCCCCCTGCAGAACTCGGTAAACAGAAAACGAGGCTGCGAAGAGGCGCAGGCTGGTGTCCCGGAGACGTGGACGGGTCGCCATGGGCAGCCCCAGCCCCACTGCCCAGCCCCGCTGCTTCACTGTCCACTCCGAGGAGGCCGCGCGGGTCTCCCGGTGCCGCTCCAGGTCCGCGTGCTGGGGCCGTGCGGCCGCAGGCACATACAAGCGGCCTGGGTTCTGGGGCTCCAGAGAAGGTTGCAACCAACCAAGCAGACAAACGGAACTCCGTGAGGGGGACACTGCGGCAGCAACGTCCCGGGGCGGTTTTCTGCTGCAGCGGAGGGCGGGCCGGGCGGCTGTTCGGTTTCGGGAGCTGCTTTCCACGGAGGATCCCAGCAATAAGTGTGGATGCAGATGCCCGATTTAAGATAAGCCTAAAGGCGCTGGGTATCCCCTTGGCGCCCAGCTGTCTGGGCAGGACGAGCCTGCGCTCGCGATCGAAGCCTCGAACTGTCAGGCGACGGCGCGGACACCCAAGACGGGGCCCCAGCCGGCGCCGCGGCCCTGCTGCGCATGCGCGAGACCGCCGTGTGCGCGCGGCGCCGTAGGACCACTCTCCTTTGCGCATGCGCACGCTCGGGCGGCGCGGGGTCTGGGTCTGGGAATGTGGAACCGGCCGCTGGCGGCGGCCGGCAGTAGAGCGGTGGCCGGGCCACTGGCCTTGCTGTGGCGATGTGGTGGTCCAGGAGGCAGCAGGACGGCCAAGACCAGCGCGAGGGCCCTGGGCACGGCCCGGCAGGTGAGCGAGGAGGCGCTGTCCGCCGGTTCCGGGCGGCTGGTCTGCGCTGGACGCCGCGTGACGCCATTCGCCTGCGCCGGCCGCCGCGTGACGCCATTCGCCTGCGCCGGCCGCGACCCGGTCCCCACAGTGAGGCCGGCAGCCCCTGGCCGGAGCTTCCCGCTGCCCGCCTCCTCCCGGGCGTCCCCTCCGTCTCCAAACTCCTCTTCTCCCCGCTGCCTCTTCCACCCACTTGTTGCGGAATGCCCGCTGTTTCCTGGATGCCCGCGCACCTCGGACATCGGAACCGGGACCTCCAGCCTCCTTGCTGGGCTCTGTAGAGAGCCGGGCGTTGAGCGGTTTGCGCCTGAGTCCCACCTGCTCGCGAACCAACTTCGCGGCCCCGCGTGCCGGCCCGTTTCCTCCTGGGCTCGGCGGCATTCGGCTGTATCCACCTCGCGGTTACTCAGTGGACCAGATACGATGAGAGGCGTGAAAGGGTTTTGCAAACTGTTCTTCATTCCGCGACCAGTCACTGTCGTAACAGCTAATACTGAGAGCTAAGGGCTCCACGCGGATTGTCTGTCTTACACCCGCCCTGTAGGTAGATATGGCTGTAACCGTATTGTAATTTATTATATTATTTTTTAAATTTGGGGGCGGGGCCGGAGTCTCGCTGTGTTGTCTAGGCTGGAATCGAACTCATGGGCACAAGCGGTTCTCCTGTCTCAGCCTCTGGAGTAGCTGGGGCTACAGGCTTGAGCCACGTGCCCTGCTCATAACCCTGTTTTTTATAGGGTTATGGTCTAAGGCCGGAATATTCTATATTTTAAGATTGCTTTATTTTTATGTTGCTACATCCCAGTGGGCAGCAGTAACGTTGAATTTTTTTTTTTCTAATGCAGAGTTTTTGAATTTTGATCCCAGAAAACTGTCATGGTTTTCAGACAGTAGTAAAATAAGAAGAAGGGTTCCATGAGTATTTCTGTCCTGCCTTCAGGAATGAACTTTCCCTTCATCTCCATTCATTTGGGAAACTGTATGATGGTTTTGTTTCTAGCAATATGAGCGAAAGCAGTCTTTCACCTGTGGCCATGTGGCATCAGCATTGCAGAGGCCCTCCTGGTGGTTAACACATGTTAACAGTCAGCAATGTACAATATCAGTGTGTACAGCCTAATACAGCCCAGGAGAGTTTTGAATCATTGAACTGCTATAGACCCCTTTATGAAGGGAGGACGGACGTTGAGTGATCTTTGAGTTCCTTCCCAGACTGGGTCATTCATCTGTATCTCATTTATTAGAGATCAATCTGTTAATCATCTACCAGGGAATGTCTGGGTGAACACAACAGGCAAGGGCTCTGCCCCACTGGCTTGCTCTCCTTTGAGAGCTTAATGACTTGTGGACTGAGGGTGACATGCAGAAGTTGGAGAGGTGGCAGCAATTTGCTTTTTTTTTTTTTTTTTGAGATGGAGTTTCCCTCTTGTTGCCCA